CGTTCTCTCCTCTCTGTTTCTGCCGTCTCGTAGCACTTTCGTAGTCTGATAGATTATTAGCCAGCTAGTAATGTCTGATTCCCTTAGTCCAGTTTCCTCTGCTCCTACTTCTCCTGCTCGGTCTGCTCTGGAGTCTGGTGCTCCCTGCTCTCCTTCGGAATCCACCACTGGCTCTCCTGCTCCTGCCTCGCCCCCTCCCGATGCTCCCAACCACCGCCCTCGTCGTCGTAAGATGCCTGTTGTAATACGGAGGCCTCGTGATGACACGCCAGAGGACGAGGGGTCTCCAACTGGAGATCCTGCTGCTCCTGCTGAAAGTCCTTGCACGCCTGCTCCTGCCCCGTCCCCTCCTGATGCTCCGAAACACCACCCTCGTCGTCGCAAGATGCCTGTTGCAATACGGAGGCCTCGTGATGCCACGCCAGAGGATGAGGGGTCTCCAACTGTAGATCCTCCTCATGCTGATAGTGATAGTTCTCTCACTCCTGTTCCCACCCCTCCGCCTCAAGCCAGTACTGGCCCTGCAGCTCCAGCGGGAACGGTAAATGTCGAGCGATGGGTCGCAAGGAAGAAAGCCCGTGCTGTGGCAAGGGCTAGGGCTATAAAGCACCAGGCAAATATCGATGAGCATTTCACAAACATCAAACCGACTCCAGACGATCAGCAATATCCAACATTCCAATCTAAGGCGTACGCAACCAATGTGCGGAAGGATAAGCTGGCAAAGGATCTCGTGGACTTTGTCGGCACGGCATTATGCTACGCAACCCATCCATCACTGGAGGGGGGAAAGTGCCCAACTTGCGGTGAGTATCTCTTCTTTGGTTGAGATTTATATATAACTGACTTGGTTTCAGGGGATGTCGTTACACCACCTGACACCCAGCCTGATGACATCATTCTGAAGCGGCCTCAGCCAACATCACAGGTCAATGTAAGTAATTCTAATGCATGCTGGTGGTGCTCATATTAATCATGGCTCAGGGTGCCCCAGAAGTTCAGTGGTTGGCCAAGCACTGGAGGTGCATGACGATTGAGGGTCGCCAGCGCTTCTATCCAGCAGACTATCTTCCTGAGGACAAGAGGTGTGCTCTGGATATGGATATGATGGAGGGCTTGGATGTCTCAGAACTGACTCCCCGAGACGCGAAGAGGATCCTCAATGATATCAAGGCATGCCACCATGGGCGCGGTAAACTCTGTGCTGCGATTATGCAGACAGAATCCGATGCACTGCTGAGAGCCAAAAAACTCAGTCAGGAAGCAAGCCGGGCTGAGTACCGTGAGGCGCGAACCAAGGCCCAGAAATCGAGGAAGAAGGACAACAAGAAGGTCAGGGAGGTGGAGAGAGCTGCAAAGAAGGCAGCTAGGTGGCAGAGGGCGCAGTTGCGCAAGGCAGAGAAGGCTAAGGCTGCAGGTGAGGGTATGGATGTTGATCAGGAGGATAAGGGGGAGGGAAGTAGCAAGGTACAGCCTGCTGATGAGGACTCTATCACAGAGCCAGAGTCTGAGGATGAAGACGACTTGGTGACTACTCAACGGTAGTGTAGCTTGCCTTCTGACTGCATTGCTCTTCTTGGACTGTGCTCTTTGACTTGGCTCCATCCCCTACCTTCCCCTTTAATCACATTCTTGTCCATTCCTTTCGCTTGCATTGGTTAGTCTCTCTTTAATACCTGCCCTAGTTGTCCTTCCTGTACACTCCCTTAGCCCCACACTCATTTGTAGCATAGATCTGTCTTAATCCAGTGCAAACTGTGTCTTGGAATACGTTGAGATGAAGATAGCAAGACGTTCCTAGATCTGGAGCCTGGGACAGAGGTTTTAGCAGCTCCAGAGCATAGGAAAACATGTTCAGACTCATGAAAGAGGGGAAGGCACAAAGCCGGACCTGAATTGCTTCAGAATTGACCGAGATCAAGCGGTGGCAATATATACCGCACTTGGGCAGATGGGACTTGAACTCGACAACCAGCAGACAGTGCTGGCATCTTCAGGGCCTGTCAAAGATGACTCTAAACACTTGAATGAGGGAGTGGAATCGTTCCCAGCATGAGTGGCCCAAGGACTGGCTAACTATCAGCAGTCGGATCCCCAAGGGTATATATTCAGAATAATAGTAATTCTGTAGAAACACAAGCATGGCAGGTGGGAGGTCAGTGCTAGTAAACTGTCATCA